TTTATGCATCTATTAACTTGTTGTAATAGGAGAAATATCGTTGCAGCATGCATTGTACGGAAAATTCAATTCTGTATAAAAAATTATATTTTGAAATAGAGTGCTAACTGTTATTATTATCATTATTATTTAATTTTGCAGACTGTTCAAGCGTAAGTGTGTTACATGAAGAGTGAAACATGCTGAAATAAGCGTATTTATTTATATTGCGCTTCATTTCTAAATACAAATGTTGTTAATCATTATTTCCATATATTTATATATATGTATATATACATTCCGTTTCGGTAAAACTAACGATGTCATATTCAAATAACTACAAATGGTTGCGATTTCTTGGTATTAAATTCGGTAGTCTTCTGGAGTTAAACTGAGCTTACGTCGATCCCAACGGCGACCGTTAAAAATAGAAGTTTCTCTGAGCTGAAACAAACTCAAATAGTACGGAATTTCTATGTTGCTTACAAGGAGATGCAATAAATTAGATCTTGACTTCAACAAGTAGTAGTTTAGTTTATTATCAGAGCTCTGTGTGTAAGACTATTGTCGATACTGAAGTATGTTTACAGTAGCATTAATTTTGCTGAATAGAAACACTGTTAATCTAAATTATATCTGCAGTGCATACATACCACAGTTTCATGGAATATCTGGACACGTGCCTATATATACATTTTTAAGAGAGTGCGGTTTAAAAATAAGTGCTTTTTACAATCATTACAACCGTTTTGTGAGGAAATTAGAAGTAATAATTTCACATACACTTGTCGCACTCTTAACTGACTGGCTAAACAATTAGTGTGATTACTGTGGATACTTGACAAAACTGAGAACATTCCTTAACACTTTTCACTGGACACATGACTTAGGTGTATCCCTGTGACCAATCTCTGACGAAATTTTGTGCAAGTTAAATTATTATTTTGAAGTTTGATAGGGTTCCTAGGAGCTAATAACCTCAATGCAGTAAATAGGTGATTCTATTGATGCCAGTGAATGTCCGACTATTGACACTTATTCGAGGGCATTAACGCAACTAATAACACTTGACGTACTGTTAGGCAAAGGCATATGCGTATTAGCCACTTTTGAGAGGAATGATTAAGCAAACACTTGATTTATATCGGATGTTGATTTGTTGACACATTGACCGCTACTAGAAAAAGACTGGATTCAGGAAAGCCAAATTACTAACCCAGGCATCATCATCGAACAGAGCCTGGAATGCAGGTTAGCAGACTAAGAAAAGGGCTTTGACGGCATCAACTGTGGAGTAATTTGGAAACTATTCTATCACCACAGGCTGCATTAATGTAAACCCTTATAAAGCTTATTCCTCATCTGTGTGATGATGCTTCATTCAAAGTAATTCACAACGTCGAAATCAGAGAAGCGTCTTGAAGTGGAGGCAGCCCACTATCACCTGTGAAGTTCCTAACTCTGATGGACAGCATCATGCATCAGACCGTGTAGAGTGAGAAGGGCACAAAAGGGGCTGATAAGAAGGCAAGAGAAGATTTGAACTTTTCGAATGATATACATCTCGTGTAGCACAATTAACAGGATTTAAAACCCTGACAATGGATACGTAACTTTTTGTATTTTAATTGTATTATTTTTCTCCCCTCCCAATAATAATTCTTCTCCTCATTATCACTGTTCTTAACTTGACTATCGTTCAGTTTCAGCTGAGTTCTACTCACTCCTGTCAGTTGTGTTACGTCACTCAACTGGATTCTTTCGGTATTATGTAGTTATCTGGAATTCAAATTTCTAATGACATCTCTGGAAATATTTCTGTTAATATATATATATATATGTTGTACTGTACAGCTTTAGAATGATAGCGTTAACGAAAGAAACTTTTCATTGAACGCCCTTTATTTTATATGACTTTGTGGGAAGTTTTAAGTTTCTGAGAGAAAAAGTATTCGAACCAGTCTACCTATAGAAGATAGAGGTGAAGAAGTCACTAAGCCAACAACAAGTACTAATTATCATGAAAGGGAAAAATTTAAAGTAAGCCATTTTTTCAAAGACAGCATAGTTCTAACTACAGGCAGACAGTACAGGTGAGAATGTCCAATTGAATCACAATCGTTAAAAACACACCTTCCTTAATCTAAAAATTGTTGTGGGGATCTACACTACTCAAAACAAGAGATAACGTCCAAATTTCCAACAATAATATCAAGTCAGCGCTTTCACATGGTTCATAGACTCGACGCCCACGTCACCAAAAGCACTTCCAACAGGAGACTGTAGAATTTCGCCAACAATTGAAAGTTTAAGGCACAGAGAACTGTGACAGTCAGAGAACAATCCAACAGTCTGTCCCCCCAAAAATATGCTGAAGGAAATAGACAGCTTAGTGACATGACACGTCAGAAAGGCCGTCGAGTGGAACTGGAACGAGAAGCGACAAATTATCCGCAGCAGTGTGATATGGATGAGATTATGTGGAAAGGAAGTGAAAACTGCATCAGTGAAATCGAAGATAACCTGAGCATTATACTGTCATCAATATTATTGCTGAGTTCATATTAGTTTTTCGCTACTCTCCTTTTCATACTCACCTACAATTATTAATACCTAATGACCTATTCACGAAGTCATGCATTCTTATTACTATTCATTAGTTTAATGTTATATCACTTATATAGTTCTGACGATTTTAATGCTCACGTACACAGCTCTAGATGTCACTCGAAACAGTACACTTTTACAGTGAAATAATAACGGGTCAGGCATATTTCTACTCAGTGTTCTATGAATAGTAACGAAGCAGGTATTTTCATATTCACTTTCGTGATTGGTAGTCACTTCCCAGATAGATATTTTGAAATCAGTAGATTGCGTAATGTTAAATAACGGCCATTAGTTTGATGTATAAGATAATTTACTAAGTCCTCACTTTCAGTGGAAAGTCATAGACAAGAAATTATGTATTACTATTTATTAACCTAAATTACTTTTATTTTCTCTGACTGAAGCTGCAGATATAAGTTGATGAAGTGAATATAGCTGGAATGAAATATTGTCGACTTGTCAGATATGAAACGGAGAGAATGAGTAAATTTCAAACCTGGGCGCTGATCAAAATATTCCAATAGTTTAAAATAACACGATATCTGCCTCTATAGGACGTACATCTTTGAACGATTGTTGATTAACCTAAAAGTGATAGAAATCGGTTTAACCTTTTATATTCTAACTTACCTAATAACTATGTCTATACTTTCACTCTTTTCTCAACTTTAACTGAGTGATAAAAACAATCTCTTTCTGGTCCAATATCGGTAGGTCATTCAATGATATACTGACAACATAAAGCTAATCGATAGAAGTTGGAATTAATTAGCTACTGATATCCTATGAAGTAGCTGAGTTGTGACTTGTGCGCTTGATAATCTGAGGATCTTGACTGACCTTCATTGGGTACCTATTGCGGTAGTAACTCCAACAAAGACGAAACAGCAGCCACCGTCCTACATTGGTGACAAAATCTACTCTAAAGTGGGATATATTTATGTGACATTTTTTGTAAAAGATAAAGACTGTGCATCCTACCCATTCAAGCAGTGAGAACGCTTTCATAAGAGATTAATTAAATTAAATATGTAAGCATTTCCTCACATAATGAATTTTGCGTAATATGCATTAAAACCTCTCATGCAAAATGCATTAGTTATTGATCATTTACGTATGAAATCGCTTTAATTTTTACCCAGTTTTCTTTTTTTAGGTTTATTCACATTGGAAATTGAAAAGTCAGTAACTGTACAAAATGTGTTTTTCTTAGATGGAGTATTTATTCACAATTATTGCATGAGATTATCCGGATTAAGTTTAAAGATAGCGTATAGGTAATCTGTTTTTGTCCATGACTAGTATTAGAAAGCAGTCGTTCGAAAAATAATCACAAGATTCCCTAATCTAGACGAATAAGTATGGTTGTGGCTAATAGTGACGTCAAGTACACAGTCGGAATCCTATATGACATTATTGCTCCTGTATACCATTGGACGCATATTTGTCATCTCACGTGTTCATCGACGGACTGATTTACGAGATCGAGAAAGGAATTCTCACTTAGATATTGCAGGTGTTGTCTGGTAGTAGGAAAATATCTTCAAACAATTTCTGAGCTGTTGATAAGAGTAAGTGATGTGGCTGTCGTTTGATAGGCTGATATAATAAGCACTCAAGCCAATGATCATCAAGCTGGTAATCTTAAATTCTAGTCTCTAGTCCTGCTGCGACATAAATTTCTATTTCAAATGTAATCACCAGCCACTATATATTTTTAATCATGAGCTATTTCATTCTGAAAAAAGTTAAATGTCACCTCATCATAGGATAACTGCTGAGGTTATTGATTTTACAGGTCCGATTGTGTTTGATACTTCCATAATTTTCGTTTTAAGATTTAACGGCCGGCAAACAAATATTTCACATCTACAGTTTTTTGAAAGGTTAAAATTATTTTTAGAAATACACTAGTGTTGTTTTGTTTGCCAAGGACAGCAGAGACGGCCACTGAAAAAATTACTAGGAAATGAGATCACTGTTTTAAGTAGAGCCAAGACCTATTGTGTTACGTGACATTTAAATAACGTTGGGGCTGAAACCGGACATTTTCTTTTGTCAAACAATTATGTCACCATCAACAGGCGCTGATTTACTGTAGGTACTACACTAGCTGCATATTAAGTTTGACTTGAATTTATAAAGCAATTATATGTTAGAGTTAACTCAAGTAACGCTAAATTCAAAGATAAATGTGGAGTGCTAGCCTAATTTAAACATGCAGCCTCTAGATTACGGGGTCACTACTATGTTAACGGAGTTATTAGACCTGCTTTAGGAATTCATTTGAATCTCCTTTAAGTCACAGAGAGTCTGCCTAGGCTACATACTGCGCAAATTTAGTTCTAAACTAGATATCATCGAAGTAAAACAATAAACGAATCACATTTTATTCTCGATTATACTATATATCACTTTTTTAATCTGATGTGTACTTATTTATGAGCAATAATATTCAACAAAGTTATAGCTGATATATGCGTGTCGTGTATAGCTATTAGGGTAACTTGAAGATATCAAACTTGGGAATAGGCTTTTTACTTTCATTACTATACTGTTACTATAAGATCTCTTACATAATCCGAAAATAACATATTGTAACAAATACTGAATCTCACTTATCTATCCACAAGTAACCTAGTTCACATGCATTAAAGTTTATGACACAAACGTTACAACGTAAAAGTTAACCATATTATGAAAAAATTTACAATTCTTTACAATAAATAGAAAGCGTTAAGTTTAGCAGGAATGAATAAAATGGCTCAAGTGCGAATATATCAATGAAATCTCGTGTTACAAATTCCAGTTTGAAAGGTTGCACCGATATTCAAGTTGTATGTATGTCAGGTGTATATTATAAGTTGATACATTTTTTCAGTTTGCAGGCATTTACAGTTCCACAATATCCAAAATAATTTACAAAAGTTTGCTTTCTGTTTCGAGATATTCGCATGATGCATTTGAATGAGGAATTAATACTGAATGTAGTTCCCTTGGATGAAAGTTAATTAAATACTTAACATTCATATATCTTTGAAATATAATTCTCTACACATTCACATTTATCTGTCGTTCAGAACCATGAAGGCTTCATTGTATGAATGTATGAAGCTTTCAAGAAAAGGTTTTAGAATCATGAGTACCCATTAATTCAAGTTTTATGCGTTTTAAAAAGCATGCAGCTTGGGAATGTTATCACTGTTTGGTACATTTCATATTGACTTTTGCTGAGAAAGTTGACTTGAAAATTCTGGTAAAGATAATTGTGTAAATCACTGAATATGTTGAATTCATTCAATATATCATCACATAGCAATAGCTGTTGCATTATCAAAGCTTTTTCCTTTCAATCTTTCTTCTCTTTGATTTGATTTACGACTACAAATAAGTCTTAAGAAAGCAGTTCTAAACTTCTCTGATAAAAATGCATACAATATTGGGTTGATACTACTATTTCCGTAAGCCAAACAGTTTCCTAAAATTTGCATAACTCTAAACAAAGGAGTCTCTGGATCCCCTGCGAAGTATTGTGTCAAAAAGATTACATGAATTGGTAGCCAACTAATACCAAATACAATAACCACAGTTACAACTAAATGAGTGACACGCTTCTTTGAACGCTGAGATTCTGCTGAATGCGCCATTTTAGATGATGGCCCACAACGCAGTCTCAGTATTAAGAAGATGTACAGCAGACAGATAATAATGAACGGAAATAAGTATCCAAACAAAAAGAATAACAGAAAGAACATTCGTCCCCCATGTGGATTGTCTCTTGCAATGTTAGTCTGCTCATCGATGCTAACCAACCCTGAATATGTACAGTATTCTGTAATACATGAACTCTCTCCACCTCCTGGTGGACCTCTCACTAAAACTGCACCAACAAACAATGGTATGTTAGTGACCAGCACTACAGTCCAGGTTATGATTACAGCAATTGTTGTATTTCGGTGTGAACGTACATTGATGCACTGGATTGGATAAACTACAGCCATAAAACGGTCCAAGCTCATCAACACCAAAGTGTAAACACTGCAGTAGACAGAAACGTATGCTGAGTAATAATAAATGCGACACACATATAATCCCAATGGCCATCTGTCAGTAACATACACAACTGCTGCAAATGGAACACAAATGACTATAAATGCCATATCAGCTACAGCGAGTGAGAAAATAAGAATATTGGTAGTATTACGCATTTGAGCATTGGCCAAAACAACAATCATCACAAATAAATTACCAACGAATCCAATAATTAGTATTAAACCAAAAATAACTGGTGTTACTATGTGAGAAAAAATGAAGTAAACACTGAGATCATTTGTAGTGAATCCTATAAAACAGGACGAACTTTGCGAAATTTTATTCGAACTTGATGACTGAAGGTAGGGGACGGCCGGAACACTTGAAACATTCACATCATCCGTTTCATTATAAATTTCTGCTTTTGCTAGAAAGGATACAGGCCATATACACCACAAAACAGTTAGCATAAGTTGAAATTTCATGATTAATTTCCAGAATTACAAAGAATTAATCAAACGGTTGACCAGACGTTTCACTAGATTTATCCGAGATTGGCCTGAAAATAAAAAGCGATACGGAAAAGTTACTTATAATGTATTTACAAACAATACCTTGAAAATTTTACAAACAAATAGAGTGCTTATATTTAGTAAATTAATTCATAAAGCTGGCACATTTTGACGAAGAACGTCAAAAGAGAAGTGACATAAATCAGCTAGTGTTTTGTAACCTTATTTACGCTAAAATATTCACAATGCGTGTTGAACGGAATGTGTATTTAGAGCCACATTTACAGAAAAGTTATTACCGATCATATAGTAGTTTTCAACTGAAGATCAAATATTTTCACTTTCTTCATTTCAAATAGTAGTCACAAAGGTAACAGTATTATCCCAGCGTTTGAATACAATTTCACCTACCTGCTTCCAAATTACTACTGAAAAAGCAGTTGAATTCTTTATATATAGTGCTCCACGTATTGGACGTGCACAAAAACGTTAATATTGAGTTCTATGACATTTACTGTAGGTAGTTAAGTGCATGAATCGACTCAGTTTTCTAAGGTACCAGAAAACGTTTAATTGGGAGTTGTTTACTGCGTATATTGACTAGCTGCTTTTCGATTAGCTAGTTGAGAAGTCTTGAAGGTATATCTCAAACACTGTAACAGTTATCGTCCCTTCAATGTGTAAAATTACATTAACATGTATATGTGAGTACGGAAGTGAACATGTATGATAAGTGATAATGTCAAATTAAAAAAAAGATAAAACTCATGCAATGATAAAGTTATGTCAGCATTTTGAATGGTTGCCCTAAGTCATTTTCTTAAAGCATCATCTTCAAGTGAAACCAAATTTTACACTCATCACTCAACTTGTTATTTGGCTAATATTATTAGTCTAGGTTTTTTAGTAACATTTTCTAAATTCTGCTATTTTATATTTGTAATACGTCACTACCATTCAGCATTCGAGATGTGATGTGACCCATTTAAATAAAATGCAGTATATAAATTTTATAGGACTTTGTGAACATTACTGAAATAAGTAAAATTAAATTTGTATACCATGGAAAATAAGGTTTGGGAGATTCAGAAAATCGAGGTGAGTTTCTATTAATAAAACAGCAGACCGTTATTTACGGACACACTACATTTTCGCGTGTAAGCAAATCTATGCTGTCAAACCCACATAAAAAGGATGCACAATGACATTCTCAAAACCACCATAGGATATGTAATTAAGAAGATAGAGCAAAACATGTTTGCATTACAGGTGTTTTTTTTCTTTTTCTTTACATATGAACTTTAAGATCTGTGAAATAACATTGCAAATTTTCTCCGCTTGCTGATGTGACAATAAATATTCACATATTGGTAAGTAAAAAAGTGTGTGTATCCTACTGTACCAACTTAAAATCTAAGGGAGAGAAAGGTGTAACTCGACTTCCACGATACTCTTCAAGTATGTTTCAAAGTGTGGAAAAATTTTAGAAAATAAATAGACCAGAGACTACTAATTTTCTGTCCTGTTCGAGCAGTCATATTCACCAACGTTTCACGTTTTAGAATAGCTTGTGTAATATCAGAACTATGGGCTGTGTGACAAGATTTTTGCAAAATAACTTTTTCCTTTTCGAGTTGTTTACGGATGCATTACTTTGTTGAATATATCTCAATATGTATCATGGAAGCTTTCTTTCACTTTTTTCCAACGTATGCTAACCGTCCACAGCATGACATTTTCATTCAAGGTGGCCACATTTCAAATTAGTTTAGCTTTTAGTCAGATACACTTCTTACAATTAAATTTCAACCTTCTAGTGTTTAAGTGTCCATTAAACTAGTATACTTGATCAACCGTAAGGAAGTGTTTAAAAAACCATGCCGAAGGTATAATAATCTTGAAAATAACTTTCATCCTAATTCAGAACCAGTTAAAGAACAGATGAAAGCTTAGTATATTTGCTTCAGTATTGAGAGTAGACTTCCTAAATGAATAAGTATTGAAATGTGCAATAGGATTGTTTTAAGTGTATTGTGAATCGAGCAGGTAGCGTTCTCAAATATGTAAGGCTGTCAAATTTTCAGACAGAATAGCAAACTACATTCGGTTTTATCCATCAAGCTACCTGTAGACTTTATAATCAGTATACTTTTTCTTGAGCTAAGACAATTTACTCCCATTATTATTATTTAGTACCTGCTCATCAGTGTTAAAAACTGAGAATTTGTCAACGAATGATAGTTTTCGTAAGCTTTTTTATGTCTCAGGATGTGCCTAAAAATTACGAGCAACGAATCTCAAGGATTAAGTGAAGGTCAGGAGTTAAAAAGAGTGCTTGGGTTGGGTGACACAAATCCAGACACAGTACATTTGCATATGCTCATAATATATTCTTAATAAAAGACTTGCGACTGCTTTATTCAATATGCAGAATGTAGGCAGATATTTGATATGTTTTATTAAACTTTATTTAGGGTGGGACAATGAAGGTTCAGTTTATAGTTTCAGTTTTCAAGACTTTTAATCTATTTCATTTCACTAATACTGGAAAGACAATTTTTTTCCGATCATATCTCATTTTGGTCAGGCAAACATATAAACACACACCCGTTACTTAATTTCAGTATCTATTACTAACTAAGTCTCATCATATATTTTTTATTTAAACTTATGAATAATTACTAAATTTAATGAAAGCTATTAATTGTTATCTTGAATTCCTTTCAGGAACTTAAATAAAAATATTGATTCAGACTTCAGGAATTTTCCGTCGCATGATATTCCCATTAAACTAATGTCAATATGTTAATGGTGATGTATGATGTATTTGTATGGACTGATGTTTAAAGGCTCATAAACACCTGTTAAACCTTTTTTTCTTTTCACTTACTTTATTGATTAAGGGAAAACTCAACAGGGAAAATTTAAACATTTAAACAAAATGAAATAAAACTTCCTTGAAGTTTATATTTACCGGCGTATATATAATATGGTTATGAATTCAGATAAAATTCAGAGGAATAAACAAATGCGTATGGCATATAAATGTTTGTATAGTTAAAATACAAAGGTAACCATCAGATGTGAATTATTTATCACAAAGGTGTTGATAGTATTAATAGATCTGTCTTTATTTGACTGTCTCAACAACCTTGCTGTTGTAATCAGAAAAAAGTTTAAGGATTCTGTCTTTAAAGAGTCTGTCATGTTTACAATTATTCCCTCAACACATATAAACACCAAGTTGGCCAGCGTTGAAAAATTCTTAAAGTGAATGAATTCGCTGACATTAAGCAAGATCTACAGACTGTATGCTCGAATATGTTTCGTTCAATACCTTTAAGCCTTAAATGCTTTTCTAAATCTAGTTTCGTTTCTAGTCAAAAATACTTAAAACCAGCCAATCATATCATGTATTATTTGAAGTGTTGACAAGTGTATTTCTGTAACTCCATGAATTTACCTATTACATTTAAAACCACTTAACAGGGAAATGGATTTAGATATATAATAGGGATGGGAATTATATAAATGAGTTATAAGACAACAATGGGAAGCATATTTATTATTATTGAAAGTTGAAACGGCTTTATTAAACTGATGAGTCCAGGATACTTTTGCCCCAATTAAGACGCACTTCAACTACAAAACTTTAATTCTGATCTCTAAACAGACAAACATCCTGGCTTTATTACTTTAAGAGGAAAATTTTAGCACCTTAGTGAATTTTGGTGGACTGCATTATGCGGAAGACTGTGGGGAGTGAGGAGACAGGAATACGTTGGACTGACAAGACTCTAGAAGATCTGAATTTCGCAAATAACTTATGTCTAATGTCACACAATGGCAAAGACCTACAGGCGAAAGCCAAAAAACTGGCAGAAGAAGCAGCAGAGACAGGACTTCAAGTGGACACAAGAAGATGGAGGTGATGAAGATAATTAACCAACAACAACAACGACAACAAGCACCAGTCGCTACAGAGGAATGAACTGCAAAGAGGTTACTTCTTTTACTTATCCAGGTAGCATCGTTTCAGGTACATGTGGAACGGATGAAGGTATTAAAGCTAGAATCGGAAAGACAAGGTACACCTTCATCACTCGAAAATCACTTTGTAAATCTACTACACTCAACACAGACAACAAAATTCAAATTTTGAACCACGAAACTGAGTCACTCAGTTTCTCTGTATGGGTAAGCAGTCTGGCGCATCACGAAAAGCATTTTCAAAAGGTTGCAAACTTTTATCAACAGCTGCCTCCCTTGTATACTGAGAATCAAATAACCAGACAGTAATGGCAACAAGAAACTAAGGGAAAAATCAATCAAGAACCTTTCGCTCGAGAAATATACCTAAGGAAATAATAATTTGTCGTACGCATGTTGAGGAGACCGTCGTATGATATCTCGCTCCAGACTCTCCATCGAACCCCGAACGTGAAAAGGCTAGCTACGCATGAACAAGGGGTTGACACTAGGGGAATCGTGTGAAGAACAAATGAGAACTTATGGGTGATTGTGAGGCCAGCTAAAGAGGACTGCAGGGAACAGGACAAAGTGGAGATGCACTGTTGAAACCTTTTGTTCCACTCGGAACCCATGGGAACAATAAGAAGTACTTGTTTCAGTATTAAATAAGTCTACTAGTTTTCTTATTATTGTCTCAGAGTGTGTTATGCTAAATAAACTAATCTACTACGAAATTTCGTCTTTAGGTTTACATAATAAATGCAACGATAATGCCTTTGGGGATTATAGAGATTGATTGTGGGTTGTCTAGCACGAGAAAATTAGCGCTCAAAAAGAATACTTTTTTTAAAATACTCAGAAACGAATAATGAATAAGTGAATGGTGTTTGACAGTGATTAATTCACTAGTACAGTTTATAAACTCAGCATCATTTTATTGCAGTATTCCATCGTTTTAGCATGAAAGCTTTATTCACATCTCTTTGGAGAAGATGAGAAATCTTTGCATATCTGAATGACTTTTTTAATTGAATGTTTTGATTAATGTCAATGTGCGATTAGAAAATTTCTGACC